CGAGACACACCGCGGTCCCACCGCCCGGGTCCTCCGCGGCTTTGCTCCGCGTCTCCCTGGTCTGCTGGTCTCCAGCAGACCAGGGAGACACGGAGCAAAGTCGCGGAGCACGCTGGCAGCGGGACAGCCCAGACGCGCCGCAGACCAGGGAGACGGGGAGCAAACCCCGTTCATAACTGCGGATCCGACATAAGTCGGATCCGCGTAACTCGGGACTGCCTGTACTGGTATACTCATGGAGAGATACCCTGATTAATAGGAGACTGACCTGTTTTCCATTAGTTACAGCTTCCTAATGGATTTCACATGTAACCTCATGTAAAATGTAATGCACTTGTCCTGTCCAGAAGTGGCAAAAGCTAGTTACTAACAAAATAAGTATCTATGGATGTTTGATTATTTCCAGTTCCTAAATACATTTATCTCTTCTTTTTTTAGTTGGGATGAAACTCATTTTGGGAAGATGGGAAGTTACTACATTAATCGGACCTTCTTCTTTGACGTCCACCCACCTCTGGGGAAGGTGAACATCTTTCAGCAGTTCTCTCATACATTTTAGGAGCTAGTGGAATTCCATGGTCATTGAAATAATCCAGTGTTTCTCAAAGTGGGCCCATGGCCCATTTTGAGAAACACAGGAATAATCTAACCAAATCCTATTTTAGTCAACTGGTCAAAGTGTAGGATGAGCACCAGAGTTTTCTGAATGCCTTTTCCTGACTACTACTGTCATCTATTTATCTTCTAGCTGGGAGGACATGGCGTGTGATCCCTACCCTCTATCTTTTCTCTTCCATGGAAAATGTCCAAAATATGGGAAAGTAAAAAGTATGCTTAATGGTGGATGTTGAAAATGGTCTGTCTGAAAAGGAGAGAATGGTTGATCATAAAGCTTGTGTCTGGATGGGGGAAACGAAGGGACTTTCTTGTGGGAAGTTGTAGATCAAAGGAACTAAGTAGCTCCTACTAGCAAGAATGTTAACTAGGTGCTCTGTAAACCAGTGAACAATACTGTTTTCTCAGAATAACATTTGAAATCAGTTTCTGACCTGGGTAGATCTCTAAATAAGTTGAACATATCTAAGTCTATTTCTTGTTCATAAAATATCCATTAAGAAGTGAATCTTTTATATTGGTTGAGAATTTCATCCACATAGGTATCTGATCTAAGAAAATAGGTTTGTTACTTCACTGCAGCCAAATGCTTTATTAAAGGCAATAACACATTTCAGAGAGTCCTCAATGGTGCCCATGACATCAGTGCATATAGCTGGGATGGATTTTAGCCAGATAAGATGCAGAGCTACAAAGATTTGGGTTCTTTCTGAAAATGTGTTTCTTGTCAGTTTCACATTTCCCTGCAGACTGCTTAATAGCTTCAGAGAAAGGGTCCATTATCTTGTTAATTTCACTCTGTTATAGCTTGATGATAACTACCAACAACAAAGGCCCTTGAGTTGTCTGCAAGCTCGGGAACATTTTGCTTCCCTGGTTACATTTGGTTTCTATTTAGATGCTTTTCTCTGCTACCGTAAAGACTACACTTTTTCAAAATTAAATTTTAGAAATGTGTTGACATATGTCCCCATACTCACTTGGGAGAGTTTTCTACTCACCGGTGGTGAGAAGGTGAGTGGATTTTACAAATCCAACAGATCTGTTTGCATAGTTGTGATATGAACCTTGTATAAAAACTCCTTTTTTCATGTTTGACAAAGTGTTTCAGTAGTGACTGGATATTTACTTTTTGGATGTGGGATGCTGTGAGCATCTTTCCTGCAGCTGGAGAGGATGCCAATGACTCTGAGATTGTTTCCCTGACCAGTTTGCCCTCCTCCCCCCCAGATGCTGATAGGACTTGCTGGATACCTGAGTGGATATAATGGCACATTTCCTTTCCAAAAGCCAGGAGACAGATATGAACATCATAACTACATAGGAATGAGAGGGGTAAGACTATTCAGGCCAGTGCTTAACCATCTGCTAACAAATCAGTGAAGGAAAATAGAACTCTGGGAAAGTTGTGTATTTCCCTTTCTCTTCTTGGCTTCTGCAATGTACATATTACTTCCCTTCAGATTTTGAAGATGGATTTTTATGACCTATACTAAATTATTTCATATCTGTCCCGGTGGAATGGTACTGGGATTTTTTTAAACTAGAGCAGACACTAACATTCTTCTTTGTCTGGCTATCTTTTATGGCAAGCAGGCCTCTGAAATAACTTGTTTGGGTGTTAAAGTGAAACCCAGGTATCATCTCTGGCCAGAATAAAATTAGGGTGAGTTGACTCTGAAGGCAGATGGATGAAGCTAATTGAAAGATGTTTCTGGTAATGACTTCTGTGGTTTGGAAAGAAACAAGAAACAAATCCTTGTTACTTACATTTGTAGTCATAGACCTGCATGACCAGTTGAAATTCTTCATATGAAGTTTTCATTAGTTTGGCCTCTGCCTGAGTATCCTAAGTGAGCCAGACTTGGGCACTACTCAGCCAATTGTAGTCACTCACAAGAGCATTCATTGTTGAATGTGTTTGCAGATGGAAGGAAGGTGGGTATGTGGGATCTGTATGCACATTCATCCTATGAAGAGATTGTCATTCCCCCCTGTGTCCATTTTTTCCCTGCAGTTCTGTGCATTTCTAGGCTCATGCCTGGTTCCATTTGCCTACCTCACTGTACTGGAGCTGTCCAAGTCACTATCTGCAGCATTACTTGCAGCCTCCATCCTGATTTTTGGTAAGCATTCTTGGCATCCTCATGGAAAATTTTATTTGTTTGACATGTGGATGAAAGAGGGTCAGCAGTGGAGGCCAGCCTTAGCACAGATTAACTGCTCAGAGACTTTCCTCTCTGATCTCATTGCCTGCCAAGAAGTCACTATTGAGAAACACTGCCTCCCTTCTAAGAGCTGAATAACTGCAGTCTATATATGCTTTTTATTCATAAGGCTCCCAAAGCATTTTATAATCTGATTTAATGTATAGGTATTTGTGGTGCTCATTGCTTTACAGTTGAAGTATATTTAAATACAAGAATTTTAAAAAGACCTATAGAGATAATTTTGCCCACTACTGAAATGCAGCCACCTCTGTTATGGGATATAGCAGATATTTAATAGGGTATAACAATGCTAAACAATACCTCAGGGTTGCAAGTCAACAAAGGATATTATGTATAATAGAAATTATAGAGAAGAGTTTAGATAGGCAGAATAGAATTACTTGAGTTAGGGATGAGCCGTTTAACATAAAGACTCTCAGATAGCATCACAGGATTTTTAATGTTCCCAAGTCAAAGCTGCTGGGTTTTGTTTTTGTTTTTTGGTAGAATCTGAAAAATAGTCTTTGCAGCTCCCCAGCATCTTCTGGCACACCATGCTGGTACATGAGTTCAGTACTGACTTGGGCTATGTCTACACTATGGAGCTATTTTGGGATACCAGAAGTATCTCGAAATAGCTATTCTGTGACTTTAAAGCAGCCTCTTATTTTGAAATATATTTCAAAATAACGGGTGGGCTAGCCTAGTGTCCCTGTAACCCTCATTCTGTGAGGGTTAAGGGATGTTTTGAAACAGCGCTTTATTTTGAAATTACCTCAAAATAAGCTATGCAATTTGTGTAATGCAAATGACTGCTCACTATATCGTTCCTGGCTCCCATTTGTTCAAAGAATGAGGAACTGAGAATGTAATCTGTGTTTGCTGCATGAAAATTCAGAGATCTGCTGTTGCCATCTGAAAATAACATTGCTTTCTTACTATGGTAAGTGTTGAAACATGCTGACCTATTTTTGGTCCCAACATTGCCCATGCTGTCTCTTGCCTAAGGTGCGAGAAAGCTGGCTTGCTACAGACACCGCTCTAGGTTTGCTTTGAAACTGAGATGTCTCTTAGTATAGTTGTGTGTCTTATTTTCCAGATACAGGCTGCATTACTCTGTCTCAGTACATCCTGCTTGACCCCATTCTGATGTTCTTTCTTATGGGAGCTGTGCTGAGTATGGTCAAGTATAACTCCTGTGCAGACAGGTAAGTTGGTGATATTTTTCTATTATGCCATAGATGTACGATTATATGATTCTATGACATCTGGGAATCCTGAGGCATTGATGGAAGGTGGTGCCATATAGATTATCTTCCCCACAATGGAACCAAAATCAGATGATGCCATAATTAAGTAAGCTGTACCCATTTATGGTCTCTTCCAGTGTGTCAAATGTGCTTGAACTGGCTGTGCACGTCTCAATGTGAGTGACTACAGCAGACACGATTAGTGTGGCCTATCTAAAGTCACATAATGCTTCCTGCAGCCATCCTCATTTGCTACAAGGAGCATGTGACCTATAAACTACAAACTCTTAGAGTATGTCTAGACTACATCCCTCTGGCACCAGAGGGATGTAAATTAGACATACCGAAATTGCTAATGAAGCGGGGATTTAAATCTCCCACGCTTCATTAGCATAAAAACGGCTGCTGCTTTTTGTCTCCATGGAGCTTTGGCGACAAAAAGCGGCAGTCTATCTGCAGTTCTATTGCTCACTAAAGCCTTTGGCGACAGATCCTGTATACCTCGTTTACCTTCTCCACTCATCTTTTCCCTACTGTATAGTTTTAGTCTTGTTTCTTTTGCTGTAGTTACCACTTGTGCAGTAGAAAAAATGAAGCATGGGAGATTTAAATCCCCGCTTCATTAGCAATTTTGGTATGTCTAATTTACATCCCTCTGGCGACAGAGGATGTAGTCTAGACATACCCTTGGTGTACTGTGTTCCATCTGATCTGCTCAAGATGAAGGATTCTATGGAATGATCTGTAATTTTCATTGGTTATCTCTAGGGATGTAAAATCCAAGTTAACCAACTAAAGTGGGATCCAGGCTGAATACCACTAGAGCCTGGCTGGAGCAGCCCGAAGCTCATAGGGCTCCTGCCCTCAGCCTCTACTGGCTCCCAGCCTCCACCTCCCAGCTCCTGCTGCAGCAGGCCCAGGCTCCCCACAGGCAAAGGCTGTAATCCAGTTAGTAAGTCAGTGGGAGAGAGGCTAATAGACTTCCACCCACTTCCTCTTCTCCACTCATCTTTTCCCTACTGTATAGTTTTAGTCTTGTTTCTTTTGCTGTAGTTACCACTTGTGCAGTAGAAAATATTCTATACCAGTAGTTTTCTGATATAGGCCAGTGGAAAATATGAGGAGCGCAGCCAATATCTGCCCCTCTTGCACATCACAACCCTTTGACTCTTCCATCCTTGCCAGGTCATGGAGCAAGAGTCGTAGTATTCCTCTCAAATCCAGGCCTCCCGTATATGGACTGTCTCAACTTGTTAGGTCAGCTTGTAGATTGTGGTTCTATTCCCTCTTCCCCACCAAAGAGCTCTTGAAGAGATGTAGAAGTGGCCAGGTTTCAATAGAGGCCCTTTACAAACATCAAACAAAGGTGCTCTTGCACCCTTCCCAAAATCATGAAAAATATATCATCTTTGTTTCCCCACTTTCAGTGAAAGACCTTTGAGAAGTAGAGTAGGAGAAAGTGGTAAAAGATATTACAGTTACTCAAGGCCTGCTTTGAACAGAGGATTTCTTATTTGTTCCAATTGCTGCTGTTTGTGCTTGTAACCATCACTAAACAGTATCTGCTCTGTTTGTTATGTAGGCCGTTTTCTGCCCGATGGTGGTTCTGGCTGAATCTGACTGGGGTAAACCTTGCTGGAGCAATAGGGGTGAAGTTTGTTGGCCTGTTTGTAGTCCTCCTGGTTGGACTGAACACAGTTTATGATCTTTGGAAATTACTGGGGGACCTCAGCCTGTCACTGGTGAGTGTCCAGAACTTTTCTTTATATTTAGTGTTTTCCTGTTTTCCCTTTTGTTTATTTCCCTGCATTGATATCCATGAAATAGTTTACTAGCAGTTTGCCTGCAGAAGACATTTGTAAGATATTGGAGCCAGGTGATGACTGGAGTTGAGATGTATAAAATGAAAAACTTGTTGTCTCTTGTGTTTTTTAAAAAAAACCTATGTCAGCTGTATATAATACACCCAAAGTGCACGTATGAGGTTGCCATTGTTCACTGGAGAGACTGCTTGCTGTTGGGATTATGTGCATTAGATTTCATTCTAGATTAAATCCATATCAAGGATGGCCAACTGGTAGCCCAAAGCTAGACATCTTTAATTTTAACAATATGGCCTTCTTAAGAGAAGTGCTGCCTGCTATCAGGGATAGTCAATTATTTTTTGTCAAGGTCCAGATTTCTTGGCCAAAGTATGGTCAAGGTCCAGACTCCAGAGAACATAATAAAAATAATAACAATAATGATGACAAAAATAATGATAACAAAAACAGTTCAAGGTCCATTCAGTGCTCACCCTGGCTGGGAGACGCAGTAGTGGAGCATGTTCCCAGTGCAGGCCATGTTCAAAGAATCCCACCTGTGGGCCACATGTTGAGCCCCATGTAAACCCAAACTACTCCGCGTGCCGCAAACAAATGCGACACGTGGGCCACGTGTTAAGTAGCCCTGCTTTACAGGATACACTGTTGTGCTGAAGATGAAGGCAGCTGTATCCTGCTCCATTTTAAAAAAATGCAGTGCAGCAGCTGTTGTAACTTGCCAATGCAGTTGTTGAAAGAGGAATTGTCAAGTGCTCTGGCTTAAAAATATAGCATACAGTATTTGGAGACTTTGAAATCCGATGTTTATTACCTCAGAGATTACTTCAATATCCCATTTAAGATCTTGCAGCCACTAAAGAGAGGCTATTAAAGCATATATTTATAAAAAAGGGTTCAATTCTTCTTTTGTCCCAGCCTGTTTTGAAGTTTGAAAATTCTATTTCTTCCACTTACTGGTTTTATCTTTTTCTTATTTCCTTAACATTGTTTTTTTCTACCTGCCCTGTGGTTTGTTTTCCTGATTAATATGAAACAATATGAACTGTAATGATACGGTGTTCCAGCTCCAGAGAAGCATTTCTTGAGAATAAAGTTAGTTAATTGTATTTTAAATGGAACAAATCCATAGTCTAAGGCTTCTGTCACAGACAGCTGCAAAGTGATTTCATTTATGCTGTTGGCAGCAAAAGAGAGCCCCCAAGTGTTAGAATATGTAAAGTATCAGAGGGGTAGCTGTGTTATTCTGGATCTGCAAAAGTGACAAGGAGTCCTGTGGCACCTTATAGACTAACAAATGTATTGGAGCATAAGGTTGCATTTGACGAAGTGGGTCTTTGCCCACGAAAGCTTATAATCCAATACATCTGTTAAGGTACGTCTAGACTACGTGCCTCTGCCGACAGAGGCATCTAAATTAGCCATACCGACATAGTCAATGAAGCAGAGATTTAAATATCCCCCGCTTCATTAGAATAAAAATGGCCGCTGCGTTGTGCCAGCTCAGGTGTTTGTCGGCACGAGGCGGCAGTCAACACGGGGATCAGCTGGCAAGGAAAGCCTTTGCCGACCGATCCTGTAAACCTCATTGCACAAGGCATAAGGGATCGGTTGGCAAAGGCTTTCCTTGCCAGCTGATCCCCGTGTTGACTGCCGCCTCGTGCCGACAAACACCTGAGCTGGCACAACGCAGCGGCCATTTTTATTCTAATGAAGCGGGGGATATTTAAATCTCTGCTTCATTGACTATGTCGGTATGTCTAATTTACATGCCTTGGTCGGCAGAGGCATGTAGTCTAGACATAGCCTTAGTCTATAAGGTGCCACAGAATATGTAAAGTAATTTACCAACTCCAGAAGAGAGACTTTCTGAATAATGAACTATTTGATGTCCCTTCTTCAAAAGAACTAGTAGTGCAAAAGCCTAAAAGGATGAATAACTTTTCTCAATATTACCTGTGGAACTATTATTGTTTGTTTACATGTTGTTTATTTGGGGAAAAAAATAATGTCTAGAACATGCACTTCATCTTGGCACCCTGCTCTGTTTTGTTTGGTGGTTTTTAATGATGTTGTGTTTTCATTTGTATTCGTATTGAGAATAGTAAAAATGTTTTTTGGAAAAAAAAAAAACCCAGACATTTTGTAAAAAGAGAAGTGTTTTGTGAACATGGGATTGGGGACTAAATTCCTGAATTTTAATCCCAGCTCAGATGTTTATTGACTGTGGCATTGGTTATTATGTTTGGAAGTGGCAATGATTTTTTGGGTGCTCGACTGATACTTTCGGCTAGATTTTTTCAGAAGTACTGAGCCAACTGCATCTTGATTCCTGGGAGAAGTCTATGCCAAAAAATTAAAAATTCTTTAAATTTTATTAGGCAAAATAACACAGTATAATCATTCACTTGCAATAATTTGGGTAATTTATTTCAAAATACAGGCAGTCCCCGGGTTACGTACAGGATAGGGACTGTAGGTTTGTTCTTAAGTTGAATTTGTATGTAAGTCGGAACTGGTACATATTGTAGGGGAAACTCTAGCCAAACATTTCTCCAGAGCTCAGTTTTATTCTCCCACACCTCACTTCCCTCAGTCCTTTATTTTCAAGCTGAGGTGTCTGCTGAGAAAAGCCGCTCCGCGTCTCCCTGGTCTGCTGGGGGGAAGCAGCTAGTGCGGGGTTGCCATACCCCGTTTGTAAGTAGGGATCCGATGTAAGTCGGATCCATGTAACCCGGGGACTGCCTGTACCTGTAAACAAGTATGTCAATAATACAGACACCAAAATAAAAAATACAGCTTCTTCAAGGAGTACAAAACTGCCTGTACCTGTAAACAAGTATGTCAACAATACAGACACCAAAATAAAAAATAAAGCTTCTTCAAGGTTAAATATCTCCAACAACTCAGTTCCAATTGTAAGGTGCTGGAGGATACTGCAGGGGCCCCTCCAGAGCTCAGACATCTGCACTCCTTTCACACCAGACCCCAGCTGTGGCTCAGACTTACATTCCTTTTCCCCTCAGAGCCCAGTCAAAGGGCATTCCCAGTCCAGACACCCATGCTGCCCTCCAGTTTTTTATTGTCCTGTCAGGGAACAAATAATACCCTGCCCTTCCTTACACTTTGCCAGAGCTCAGTCTTCTCGGCACTCTTCTGTCCCTGGGTAGATGAGGACCAAGCTAGAGCAGTTGCTAGACTGAGGACTGGCAAACTCATTCAAAAACTGTTGGCAGACTGGCACTGAAGTATTCACATATTCATTATGATAGTTAATTTATTTACATATTCATTAGAGTAATTTTAGCCCATGATAAAATTAAAAGGAAAGAGGGACATGATGGTTAACAAGATTTTGAAAAACTGCTGCACATACACATTTAAAAAAAACAATAAAATAGTTGCTAATACTTGTTAAAGAGTATTATCCAGTCCAAACCTTTTGCCTCAATTGCACCAGAATGAAAGAGGCAGTATTTAACAGGTCTGACAGTGCTGACACATTCTGTACATTCATATTTTCATATGCACTTAATAATGCATGATAACAATGTGTGTACCGGCTGGCTGGGAGCAGCCGGAGGCCAGGGGGAGGCTTC